CCCAGCTACTTGGGAGGCTGAGGCAGGAGAATCACTTGAACCTGGGAGGGGGAGGTTGCAGTGAGCTGAGATCGTGCCATTGCACTCCAGCTTGGGCAACAAGAGCAAAACTCTGTCTCAAAAAAAAAAAAAGAAACATGTTGGTGGGGATAAGAGTATTCTTAGGGGTTGGGTGGAGTCATACAGAGGTGCAAAAATAAAGGAAATATATAGAATAGTGCATCCACAGGTCAGGAACACCATGCCTCCACTTGCCCCAGGGTTCTGCACAATGCACACACTCAATAAATGTTAATTGACTGAATTAATAGGCTTCATAGTTCCAACATGCAGTCCAGTGCCTAATTAGCTAGTCCAGGCAAGCCCTCTTAATATTATATTTGGAGAATGAGAGACATGAACTGGTTGAGTGACCTCCTCAGGTCACCCTCTTTGTTAGAGGCATAATCAAGACATGAGTCCAGAGGCACAAGCAACCACCAGCCACCAACGAACTGGCCCACCACTGACGAGGTCAGGAGCTGAGGAGGCAGGAACGCTAAGACAAATGGAATCTGAAGTCTACATTCAGAGAATTTTCAGTTCCCTCAAATCACAAATGAGAACATTTAAAATGAACTCATCAAACTCTCCTATGGGCTGGCTCGAGAAATAGGAGCCTCCAAGTTCCAGTGAGAAGTTGTATAGGAAGAACTCTAAGACGGCACAAGGAAGACTCTTCTCACCGCTTTGGTGAAGTTTCATAGAGAGGGCATGAGCTCCGGAAGCAGGCAGTCCCGGCTTTGAGTCTAGCTCTATTACTCACCAGTCATGACCTGAAGCAACTTAACCTCTTCAAGACTCAGTTTCTTCGACTCTAAAATGAAAATGATAATGATTGTCTCACAGAGTTGATGTGCAAAGTAAAGATGTGATATAAGCCCCTAACATGATGAGTGGTCCAAAATGGGCACTCAGGTACAAACCCACAAACAAAATGCTAGTTATGACAATGATTCCACTAGGAACAGCAGAGCATCAGCCAGAGGTCGTGTAAAGTTTCCACTGACTTGATGAAAGGAAATCTAAAGTAATGAATAAACACATGAACAGGTCACTCAAACTGCAGATTACAAGGATAGTTTTTTTCAGTGTGAGAAAAATGCTGTTTGGTAGCTCACAAGCAGATTTCACGCTGGAGCAGTGCTCTCGACACAGAGCAGGCTGGGCTTTTTAAATTGTCTGCTCTCTTTCTCTCTCTCTCTCTCTCTCTCAGTTTCTGATACATGATGTTCAGCAAATACACCACATACTGGAGAATGATATATCATATACCCTGCAGACTGCATTTTACGACAGACTCCCAAGATTGAGGGCAGATGTACTATGCACTTGAATATGCCCAAAGTTTTAAGAGTTAAGTTACTTAAAGCTACATCCTTTGGCATCATTTGCAACAGAGCTGGTTACCAAAAATGCATTTGGGGCTTCTCATTTTCCAACTAAAAACTACATTAAACCAGCACAGTGCATTGGAGTTTTATATGAGATTACAATAGCTGACAATGTCCATATCTCTATATCAAAGAGAAACCATCCCTTTTTCACAAGGAACTGATTTCAGAGGGAGTTGTACTTCTGAATGAGAGACACTCCAGCGATCTGGACCTAGAATCTCTGAGACTGTAGATGTTGAATAATATTAGTGTTATAAGAACCTCAGTTATTGTTGCTGTTATTGTTGTTGTTGTTATTATTATTATTATTATTGAGATGGAGTCTCACTCTGTCACCCAGGCTGGAGTGCAGTGGTACAACCTCAGCTCACTTCCACCTCCACCTCCCAGGGTCAAGCAATTCTCTTGCCTCAGCCTCCCAAGGAGCTGGGATTACAGGCGCACGCCAAGATGTCCAGCTAATTTTTGTGTGCTTTTGTAAAGATGGGGTTTTGCCATGTTGGCCAGGCTGGACTTGAACTCCTGGCCTCAAGCAGTCTGCCCACCTTGGCCTCCCAAAGGGCTGGGATTCCAGGTGTGAGCCACCTTGCCTGGTCTGACCTACACTTTTCTAAGTCCATTTCTCACTTTTCAGGTCACATCTGAGGTGTGTGTTAGTAGCATCTGACACAGTGATGACTCCCTTTCCTCTGAAACAGTTTCTTTAATTGGCTTCCAGCACAAACCCTTTCTTCATTTTCCTCCTTTCCACTGGGCATTCCTTCTTAGAATCCTTCCCTGGCCCGGCCTTTTCTCTCCGACCTCATAATCTTGGAGGGCCCCAGAGCTCAGCCCTCAGACCCCTTCTCTTCCTTATTCACCCTCTTGGTGATCTCACCTGGTTTCATAGCATTAAATATCACCAGAAGCTGCCAAATGTGCACCTCCAGCTCAGACTTCTATCCTGAACTCCAGACTTCTTCTTTGTTTTTTGTTTGTTTGGTTGTTTGTTTTTTGAGATGGAGTCTCACACTGTCGCCCGGGCTGGAGTGCAGTGCCACAATCTCAGCTTACCGCAACCTCCGCCTCCTAGGTTCAAGTGATTCTCTTGCCTCAGCCTCCCAAATAGCTGGAATTACAGGCGACTGCCACCACGCCCAGCTAATTTTTGTATTTTTAGTAGAGACGGGGTTTCGCCATGTTGGCCAGGCTGATCTCGAACTCCTGGCCTCAAGTGTTCCGCCCGCCTCGGCCTCCCAAAATGCTGGGGTTACAAGCGTGAGCCACCACGCCCGTCCGAACTCCAGACCTTTATCGAGCTGCCTGCTTCATGTATCAAAGTTAACAAGTCCAAACTTGGACTTTTGTTCTTCCCTTTGAAGCCAGCTCCACTCCCAGTCTGCACTCCTTCAGTCGATGGTGACTCTATTCAAAACCTTTCGAGTCTTTCTGGACTCCTCCTACTTTTTTTTCTTTTCTCACATCCAAATCTTGTTGGCTTCCTCTTCAAAATATATCCTGCATCCAACCACTTCTCACTACCTCTACTGCTGCCACTGTGTTCCAATCCATTGTCATCTCTCTTGGATTATCACATTCACTTCCTCATGACAGTCTCACTGTCGCCCAGGCTAGAGTGCAGTGGAGCAATATCGGCTCACTGCAACCTCAGTGATCTTCTGATAGCCTTGTAGTATAAAGCAATTCTCTCTCTTGACCCATCATAGCTGTCCAGGTACCATTTAAAGAATAACAACAACAAAAGGTGACCATTTAGACAATTTAAGAATTACTTCCAAAAAGCAAACACATGGAGAAAAAAGCAAAACAAAATATAGGCTAGTGAGCACAATTAATTCCTACAGCCAGTTACAAATCCTTGCAACTTTCTCATTCCTTTAGGTTCATAGAAGTCAGAAGACTTCAGGTTAAGGAAAGCCAGGAATATAAAAGCCAAGGTCGGCTTTTAATTTACCTTCAACATGATCAAAACTAAACTTTTGCCCGGGAGTTTTCTCAGTAACAAAGGTGAGCAATTCCACCTTCAAAGGCATTTTTGGGTCTACTCAACAGCTTTGATTGCACTATTCCCTGTTTTCCTCAGAATTAGGTTTCACATTTGTAAATGTTAATAAACTAGTCCTGCTTTCCCAGGTTTCATGCCCAATCCTGAATGTCCTTAGGGGGCACTGTGAAGTTTATAAAGGCTCTGCTTCTTTTGCCTTCCTTTAAAGGATGGTGTTCCACTAAGATTCACCTTTCCATCTTCCACTCTCTTATCTTAATGTACATACTTTCCCTGGGTGATCTTTTCCACTTCTTCCCATATGCTCATGACTCTCAACCCTCTACCTATCTCTAGCTTGGGTCTCTCTCTTGAGCTTCAGATCCATATATCCCTGGATGTCCCATTCTCAAACACATTGTGCACATACAGAGTTCTTTTTCTCTGCCAAATGTACACCTCTTCCTCCTTTTCATTTTCCTTACTGGTGCCAAGATCCATCTAATCACTCATACCAGAAACCAGAGCATGGTGCTATAAGATCACAGAGGAGAAACCAAGGATAGTAGCAATTTGCTGCAGGGTAGGAATGCAGGGAGGCATTCCAAGTGACATAATGTAACTATAGAGATGCCAAAATAAGAAAAAGCACGGTATGTGTACTGTTAGGATAGAACAGGATAGGCCGAAGTAACGAATAAAACCCCATAATCTCAGTGGCTTTTTTCTCATTAAAAAAAAAAAAAAAAAAATCTTATGCCAATTGGTCAGCGTTCCTGCAACAGAAATTCAGGACCCAGCCTGCTTCCATTTTACAACCCACTGAGTTAGAGTTTTGCACATCCTAGCATATGGACAAAAAAGAATAAGCATGAAGAACTCAGACTCCCTCTTAGTTTTCCTGAACCAGAACGCCATATCCTGCCACTTACTTTTTTGTTGTCAAAAATTTGGTCAGGGTCCCAACCTAGCTGCAAAAAGAAACTGGGAGATGTCTTCTCATCTGCCTAGGAAGGTGAAATGAGGTAGTGAACACGTAGCATTTTCCCCACTACAACATGGTTAGGAAACTGTAAGAAGACTGGCATACCTGAAAACCAATGGGAATTATGGGTTGGGTTGGGGGTGTAATATGTATTGTGGAGAGAGGGTAGGTAGACCGTGCTAGGAAACACAAGAACGTAGGTACCATGGCCAATGTAACTAGAAGGACCGGGTGGAGTCAAGAGCCTGAGTGTCATGCTGAGAATAGCATGCCAGTTCAATGGGAGTTTAAAGATGGGAAGAGAGCAAAGACAGGGAGAGTGGTCAGTGGAGAATCCTAGAGCTCAAACTTCTCAACCTGAGAGCCCCAAGTAAAGGACCAGCTCCTGCTCCAGGACCAGACTGAGGTTCCAATTGCTTTAAGAATCCATGGAGTGCAGACAAGGATCTGAGACTCTGACCTAAAAACAAACTGAAAAGTTCTGTGTTCATTACCTCTGGACATTGTGTGATCCTTCCTCTAATGGCTTGGTTCCCACTACCTCCCCACTGGCTCTCCCCTCTCAGCTGCATCCCATCTCCCTCTGCAGGCTCACCTCCCTTTTCTCTCCGGGTTCAGCCTTTCATCTTGATTTTGGTGGGTGCGGGTTCTTGGCCCCTTCTCATGGGGCGCTGCCTCCAGTAGTACGTGCCCCAGCTGATTTGCATTCTGGTTTACACTCAGCCATCTTCAACAAGGCCTATCCAATCAAAATAATAACATTAATAACTAGCATATACTAAATGGTTACTATATGCCAGGCGCTATTCAAACTTGTTTTATAAAGTCATGTGATGTATAACAATATTTCAGTCAATATACTATTGTGGTCCCATAAGAGTATAATACTGCATTTTTACTATGTACTTTTTCTATGTTTACATATGTTTAGATATATAAATACTTACCAGTGTGCTACATTTGCCTTCACTATTCAGTACCGTAACAAGGTGCACTAAGTTTGTAGCCTAGCAGGAATAGGCTATGCCATATATCCTAGGTGTGTAGAAGGCTACACCATCTGAGTCTGTGTAAGTACATACTATGACGTTCACACAACCGCATGATCGCCCAATGACACATTTCTCAGATCTCGTTAAGTAATGCATGACTGTCACATGACTGTATATAATTATTTATTCTCAGAAAAAACCCGTGAGGTAGGTGGTATTGTTATCGCTATTATGCAGATAAAGAAATAGATGCAAAAAAGGCTAACTCACCACATTCATGGCGCTTATAAGTGGTCAAGCTAGAATCTGAATCCAGGATGTCTGGC